TGTATGTATGTATGTATGTATGTATGTATGTATGTATGTATGTATGTGTTTTCGAATTTTTGACTACTTTTGATGCCAAAAATCTAGTTTGTGCAAGCATAATAACAACAAAGAATTCTTAATTATAAAGTGTATGTTCTCTTTTTTAATTGTGTCTTTTCATTTCAGTACAAAGAAGTGGCACTCCAGGTAAGAACATGAAATCACTTCCGTTCATCTGCATCTGCATGGGGGGGAGGGTCAGATGCAGTTCTCTAACCCCCCCCCCCCCCCCTTTTCTCTACGACAAAACATTTTCAGAAAGAAAGGATTTTTCTGCCATTTGACTAGCAACGGGATACAAACAGGCTGAAACTGGGAGGGCGATACAGGGATGTATTCAATTCAGTCCAGACAAAAAGGATGAATAATGCAACCTAACCATTTGCCTTCAGTCTTTGCGTTTCTCCTACTAAAAATATCCGACCCATGATAATTCCCTGAGACTACAAAAGATGCCTCAGATTAGGGAACAGATAAAATCCAATTTTTAATCTTTTTTTAATAAGAATTCCAACATCATTTATGAATATACAAGATCTAAAATGTGCTCACAGTCCAGCAGGTAAACGGGTTTATACAGAGGTATATACAGCAGTCTGTCACCTTAGAATGAGCTGCACATATTTTCTCCTTTTCAATACTTAACATCTCTGTTTATTGAATTAATTAAAATAGACATTTTGTCCAAATTTTGCATTGAATCTTGGCACATTTAAAACAGCATCCCACTGTTTTGAAAACCAGGTTCTTTACCATTTCAGTTTATAGATGGAATTTAATCCAGGGCAGGCAGGTGAAACATGGCAAGCACCACGTGAAAGTCCCAGAACACAAATACAATTTCCCTTTTTGGAAGCTAACTTTTTAAAGAACCTACATGTGGGAGTTTCTAGAAAGACTAGGTGGTGCGTAGATGTCACCACTTCATGGTAAATGTGTGCAAAAGGTTCTATGAAAGTTAAGATCAACTCGGTAAATTCTAATCGTTGCTCTGGTATTTTGCAGAACGAAACATTGCTTATTAAAATTTCGATGTTTACTGTGTGCAGGATCCCAATTCAAATCGCATAGCACAGTGGCTGAATAAGGCCATCGTTGGCGGCATACTTGACCTTTCACACCCCATCATTCCTGAGGCTCCTCAGGGGACCTACACGATCACAGCCTTAACGGACAAAGAAGAGCAAATATCCCACACCTTCGAAATCAAGGAATATGGTAAGATACAGTCAAACAGTCCGAACAGCTCCCGTTGAACATTATTTCATTACTTTTCACTGGGAAAATTCTCTTCTCTATTTTCAATCCTATAGTTTTGCCTAAATATGAAGTAAAGGTTCAATTGCCTGATGTGATAACCATCCTGGATAAGGAGGTCACCGTGAGGATTTGTGCAAAGTGAGTGTCAAGCCGTGGTTTCTGGGTTCAACATGTAAAAGTAAATGAGTTTATGTGGTTGTTCGGTTGTGATAAGTCATAAGTCAATGTGGAGCAGATCAGTGATTGTGGTCCATGTTGGAGCAGAGTTGTTGAATTAGCTCAACAGTTCTGGGGGAAAAAATAGCCGTCAGATGGATTAAATGGAGACTTCTTCTCCCTTTAGTGACTCTGACTGCTACAAAAACTGTCCAAATCAAGTGCTGCTGAACTTTCAATTGATAGTCTGAAGTTAAACAAAGTAACAATCTGACTCATGTCCATTTAAATGCCAATGAGCGCCAAATGAAAGATGGAACTTATAGATTTAAGATGATTTAGGGTTCTAAAAAGATACTTTTTAGTCGAGGCTCATGGGTCAACGAACCTAAGATTTTGTTGGACAAAAAAACAACAACCTCTGAGCATGTCCGACCTGCAGTACTCCTGAGGCTGTATTCTCTTGCCCTCCCCTGCAGATACACGTATGGGAAACCAGTTCTTGGCTCGGTAAAAGCCACTTTTTGCAGAATTGCCACCGCTTCCTTCTGGTACATCCGGCAAGGAGAAGAGACCAAGTGCAGGACGTTCGAACTGAAGGTGCGCATGGAGAAGACCTCACTTGTCCTATTTCCTTAAACTGCGTATTTCTAAGAACTACCTTCTTAATGATATTTTAGACGGACAAAAGTGGATGTGCCACACAAAATGTGGTCATGGAGGAGTTTATCAGCAAAATCAACATGCATGTTCACAGCTTTGAGGTCACTGCTGAAGTGGAGGAGTATGGCACAGGTAGGTTGGCCGACGGTGAGCCGTCGCTGAACTGGTTCCAATTGATGTCCAATTGTGTGTGACCCCTCTGTTTAACCCCCTCCAGGGGTCACTCTTAGCGGCAGTGGGAGGGCAAGCTACAGCAATCAGATCCGAACGCTGACTTTTGAAGATACGCCGGCAGCATACAAGCCTGGGATCCCTTTTGAAGGAAAGGTAATCGCACTCACCAAAGCCCAGAGAGAACCGTAACAAGATATTTCCAAGACTTCGTTCATGGGAAATGTGGTCAGATGCCTGTGAGAGCCAGACAACGAATCCTAAAAACATCACGGGAGGCCCCTCTGTGACATATCTTAATTATGTACCTCGATATTGAGTACGAATGTAGCCCAGCTTTGGTTGTTTTGCATAACAGGCTTAGTTTCCATCTAAACGATGCATTAGAATCTGATCCCCAGTAACAACTTTATTGCGGGACTGGTCCTGTTGGAACCTAAAACTGGTCATGTTTTCCAGGAACATTTATTTCCCATTTAGTTATCCTGTGTTTTTGGGATCCTATATTTTCTTTGTTCATCTCCCTCTTTCACATATTTAGTATTCTATAAGGTTTTAATAATTTCATATAAAGATAAAACTTTGCGTAGATATTCTAGGAAATATGTTTAAGGTCAGCATATACATTTCTAAGTGAGGAAACATGTTGCTCTCTGATCATTTTAACCATGGGGTCATTAGACATACACTTCTTAAAAATGGAAGGATTAAACACCCGGCGAACAGGTCAGACGTTGGATCAATGGTCAGACGAGAATCGTTATGATGAAGGAAGCAACAACTTTTCCGCGTTTTATCGTCAAAATCTACATTTACTCTAACTTTTTTGCAGGTCAAAATGGTTGGTGCAGACAACAGGCCTGTTGCCAATGAGGCAGTCTACTTGTCCGTTGGAGTCTCCGCACCAATATTGCTCACAACAGATCTGAAAGGCATCGCTCCGTTTTCTCTGGACACGTCTGCCTGGAAAAACTCTGCGAATCTGATGGTTAGTTTCTGTCGGATGTCCTCAGGAATATTCCCAGTCAAACAATATTTGACGCATCAGAGTTTGGGGCACAAATTGTAATACGTTCGAAAATGTCGGGTTGACATCGCTGGAGGGGACTCTGACCTTTGACCTCACCCTCTTAACAGGCAAACTCTAGGAATTCGACGAACGTCAGACCAAGTGGAGTTTCTGAATTGAGGGTTGAGTACGGGGTTGCGTACCACTATGTCAAAGAGTTCTACTCCAAGAGCAGAAGTTTCCTGAAGCTCATGCAGGTCGGTGAGAGCTTGTCCTGCAACAAGGACGCGTCCCTGCGGGCTCAGTACATCATCCAGGGCGAGGAGCTGAAGGAGGGACAGGCGGTCCTCGACTTCTTTTACCTGGTATGCGCCGTGGACGTGCACGTCTTGACATGTGTTTTCAACAGAGCGTCAACAGATTTGGCCCTTTAATTCCTCATTTATCTCGAAGCGATTTCGTCAATAGGTTTCTGTAATTGGCTCGATTTCTTTTTTTTTCTTTAGGTGCTGTCCAAAGGCGCAATTGTTCAACACGGTCGTGTCCCAGTGGCTGTCAAAGCAGGAACAGGTACGAGCTCATTTTGAGAAAGCAAAGTAAGAAACGAGTAATGAGACCGCAAACATTGCGAAAATAGTCTTAAAGAACTGAATTGCTTCACTGGGAAGCTGATTGAAAAATAAGGCTTTGGTTTCCAATGAAGCACAAAGATGGGACCGTTGGAGCAATACCAAACGGTAATTTGGTCTGATGTGTCCCAGTCGCTGTTGTTCTTGAGTGAATGCTGCATGAGGATGGAATAGTTGTTCCAGTTGATTGGGGCTAGTTTTAACATTCTGTAGACCACCTGGGCAAGTTGGTCGACAACATTCTTTTTCCACACTTTTCTGTTGAAGCTAATCTAACTAACCCTCGGATACAATGAAAACATTGTTGACCTGATATTGTATTAGCTCAAGTTGATTTTCGTTTAAAAAGTAGATATTAATGGATTCCTTGTTTGTTGTCATACTTGAACAAAGTCTGGGACATAGTCTTATATTTGTTTGCTTGTTATTTCCACCAGTTAATAAAGGAGAGCTGACCGTGCCTCTCGGCCAGGTGATGGACCTGGCACCAGTGGCCCAGGTGGTGGTTTACACTGTGATGCCCGGTGGAGAGGCTGTGGCCGACAGCCAGGACTTCCCCATCCAGCTGTGCCTGAAAAACAAGGTGGGATACATTGATACATTGGCGTATGGAGAGACTTCACACGAGCATACCCAACTCCCTCTCCGCTCTTGTTATTTCCCCGCAGGTGTCCCTCAAGTTCTCCTCCGTGCAGGAGCTTCCGGCCGGACAGACCACGCTGAATCTACAGGCCCAGCCGAGCTCCTTGTGCTCGGTCCGAGCCATCGACCAGAGCGTCCTCCTGCTCCAGGCCGAGGAGGAGCTCACCGTGGACTATGTACAGCGTCTTTACCTTTACCTTTTGCCCAGTCGTCATAGCTGTACCTTTACCTTCACCGTGACGTGTCGTTTTGCGTCGCCGGCGTGATTTTCTTTCCCCAGGTGTACCGCCAGCTGCCCATCCAGAAGCTGTCTGGGTACTTCTATGAGGTTGAGGACCCTGAGCCTCACCCTTGCTTCCCCAGGCCACTGCCGTGGCCTGGAATACCTGAACCTGAACTGGAACTAGCACCAGAACCGGAACTAGAACCAGAACCAGAACCAGAACCAGTAGTGGAAGTGCGACTGGAACCTGAACCCACAAAAGCGCCGGACACCGATTCTCCACTGCCCGGTCGGCAAAAGCGCTCGCTGTACTTCGGACCATCGCGAGAGAGGGATGACGTGTACAGCGTCTTTGAAGTAAAAATGCTGTCCTTTTTTTCTGCTGGAGCTAGGAGCTAGCATGCATAGTCCTGTCCCTTTAGGCAGAGTTATGATATAACTCACAGCACTGATTCTCTCACATCTGTCTTCATCCATGTGGATTCTTAGCTATTATTGTACTCTGCATCCTTCTGAAGAGGTACATGTCTGTTACACCAGATATAACAGTTTGAGAAGATTTTCGTCCTCATTTTCATTACATTTATTCCTAGTCTGTATCAGGGCCGGGTCTAGGCAGTGACAAGAGGGGGCCCGGGCCCTTAAAATAAATGTTGTGCCCCCTCAAACTAAATCCCCCAAAATTGATTATTCCGTCTCTTCTCCTATTGGCCCTCATGTCTGACTCCATTTGGACTTCAGGTCTTAAATGTCCTCCACAGAAATGCGGAAAAGCTAAGAATGATCTTTTCTCACTTCCAGAACATCGGAGTCAAACTTCTGACAAACTCTGACGTGAGAAGACCATCTGACTGCAGCTATTTTAGAAGAGATTGTACGTATTGTGGTCTTGTTTTTTTCTTTTCAATTCATTATGTATAACATCAGAAAGGAACTGTGACACCTCTGATACTGTAAACTTTGTGTAAATCATGTGTTCTGTTAGTAGTTCTTTCAGAAGCAGATGGAGGTATGCATGGAGGTCTTGCACTACCTATGTCTGCTGAACACTCAGTTGGAAAGACCAAGGAAACTATAAGAAAATACTTCCCTGAGACCTGGATCTGGGATCTTGTGTCTGTTGGGTAAGTGTGGTGGTGTAATGATTTCCTTGTCATCTATGTTTTCTTAGACGTAGAGTCCCTTGTTCCAATGGCTGTCAACATGATGCCACAGAGCCCAGGTGGTATGATGAGAGGTAAAGAGGAGGAGAAAAAGGAGACGATCAGAACATTCTTCCCTGAGACCTGGATCTGGGACCTAGTTACTGTGGGGTAATGCTAATACGTCATTTTACGTCAGGAACTTTGGTTTTTCAAGAGCACTTATTAGCTTGTCAGCAAAAAAATAAAGGTATGTAATGTGTTCCATGTCGGAATCTAAACAAAGTATATTCAAATGTACATTTACTGCACAGAGGGTGGACGTCACTGAGGTACATCAGTCAAAATGACTAGACACCTCCTCATATAAACTAACCATCATCTTTTTGAAAGTACACTGTTATTGCGGCTTAAGAACAATCAAGTAAAGGACAGTCATACTTGGGCTTGAACTAATTTTGCCTGTCTACCTGCACAGCGCCAACGGATCAGTGGATATGAAGAAGACGGTCCCCGACACTATCACCAAGTGGGCAGCTGGAGCTTTCTGTGTCTCCTCTGTAGGCTTCGGTGTGTCCCCCAACATCGGGCTGACCGCCTTCCAGCCATTCTTTGTCAGTCTCACCCTGCCCTACTCTGTCATCAGAGGGGAGGTGTTCACACTCAAAGCCACTGTCTTTAACTACCAGTCCAAATGCATTATGGTAAATACTCAGTTTTCCTGTATATGTATATATATATATATATATGTTTTTTTTTTTTTTTTTTATTTTTTTTTTTTTTTTATTTTTAAATTTTTAAATGTTTAGTTTATCGTTTATACTTTGTTTATACTTTGTTTATACTATGATGAAAAAACCAGTTTAATACATTTGAATAGTCATCAAACAATTAAGATGTTTGATTAAAAGTGACTGCAGCCTCAGCTTTTTTTCTTGCCAACAACACACATCCCTGATATTTGTGTGTCTGCTCGCAGGTGAAGGTAACCCTGGCCACCTCGGACCAGTACACCTTCAGAAACTGCCACGACTGCCAGTACACGGTGTGTGTGTGCGGAGAAGAGAGCAGGACCTTCTCGTGGATCGTGACTCCGACCGCTTTAGGTAGCGTCTCGTTTTTTTTAGGGGAAAACACTGCGTTGGTTTGCGTCTCGCCTGGACGTATTCCACTTGATCAAGACTTATTTTTCATGTAAACTATCGTTTTTTTGAGCGATTACGACTATTTCGTATTCGACTGGACGCTGAAATGAGGACGCTAATACATGGGGCTCTTTTTTTAACCACGTGTTGTCAGGATGCTCTTCTGTGTTTTAACATTTCACTATGAAATCCCAAATTATTTCATGGATTTTCCCACATTTTTGTAAAGGTGTTCTTTATTCAATCGTTTCATGCTGTGACTTTAACTCATTGACTGCCAGCCATTTTCAGAACAGAGAGTCCCATACTGCCAGAGTTTTTTGAGCATTTTGACTGATTTTTCAAGAGCCACAGAATAGTTTGTGCTATGACTATGTAAACACCGAACACACCAAAAGAAAGAGTAGACTCTCTTCTTTCATCAGGAAAAGAAAATTGTTTCTACCTTATTCCGTTCTTCCTCAACTTGCGTCTCACCGGCGACATGTTCTCTCGTAGCGAACCATTACGTTTTTCTTATTTGCCTACAATCTGTGCTCATCTCCCATCAAAAGTGGCACTGCCACCTAGAGGGTCAATTTGTTACTACATACTCTGTCTAGAAGCCGATATTTACGGACAAGCTTTAGCAGATCGTCACCCAGCCACTCTCGTTGAAAAACATAAAAGACGTCTATAGACGTCTTTGGCAGTCAACGGTTGTATTTGAATTGACGTCTATAGACGTCTTTGGCAGCCAATGAGTTAACGATGAGGCAGAAGGAGCTAATTAGACCTTATTAAAGGCCCTGACAGCCGTTGCATCCGCGCTGCTGGAAGCGAGGAAGGCACCTGTTGTCGGAAAAGGCTGCCTGGCCCCCAAAGCAGAGGCTTTCTATCAGCCTCCATCATCAGGGAAAGAGACAAGGCTCTGATGAGTGTCAGACCGCGATCCTTTTACTCCCCCTTAGAGGAATGCTGACAATCACTTGTACTAACAAGTCAGGTAGTATCTCTGACGAAACAGTCAGAAACCTCTCCCTCAGGGGCTGATCCGCACTTGTCCTCCTTGTGAAGGATTGTGAGCGGTGAAGGAAGCGAGGGGAGGGGATGGGAGATGGAGCTGTAAAGGGGGGAAGAGATGGGATAAGTCAACAAATGGGGATTAATGAGGGCGAACGTGATGGTAAACAGGAGGGGAAGGGAAACGCAGAGGAAGGATGGAGGAACAGGGAGAATAATGAGTCGGGTGGAATAGCAGATGGGAAAAATTTCTCGCCGTCTCTTCACACGCGGTGTGACAGGGGAAGGGAACGGGGAGCCGTAATCAATAGCATCCAGCCTCAGACTGAGTTTGTCTGTGTGTGTGTGTGTGTGTTTGTGTGTGTGCGCAGGGACTCTGAGTGTCAAGGTCAGCGCGGAGGCCCTGAAAACCACCGAACTGTGCGGTAACGATGTGGTGACCGTCCCCGATGTGGGCCAGATCGACACGGTCATCCGCACCCTGCTGGTGGAGGTCAGTGCCAAACGTGACCCAAAACATCACATCTCAACAGATTTTTTGTTCAAACAATGCACAATGATTGTTTGTAGCGTGGGTTTATCCTTCACTTTTTTAACCCTATAATGCCAAATGTATCATATTTGATACATACGGTTTCTGTCGTCTTTTGGGTCTGAGACTTTTTGCGTCATCAATAGTAAAAGCTTTGGTCAAACCCCTGTTGTACACATTCAGATATACCTGATAACAGCCAGTAGAAGACTACACCAAAATATATTTTTGACTTATTGCACGCTAATTTGATCAAAATAATTTCAGTTTTTTTTTTCTTCATATGTTGTTGAAGGGCCAAAGAAAGACTCCAGACTAAAAAAATCCAATATTATTCCTATATTTCTCGGATCGGGCTTTAAAGGGTTAAAATTACAGTAACAAATAACGTAAAAATACATTTTAAAAAAGCTACAAACATTGTGGTTTAAACAATATTGAGGTTAGGTAAGTTGTAACACAGCGGATTCCTATGTTCAGCCAGTCTTAAAACCTTTGGTTTAAATGAAATATGTGTCTCTTGTGCTGCCTGAAAATGGTTTCCAAATGTAATGTACCAAAAAAATAATCAGGAACTTTGGCAGCAAACAAGAAATAGTTTCAATGAAGGCAGGAATCCCAATATTTATCATGCTCTGTTTGGAGTTCAGCATCATCTGTTCTAGTTTTGATACCTTCTCATAATAACTGAAAATAAGTTAACCCTTTAAGCCTGATCCAAGAATATAAAAAAAACAGAAAATTACTTTTTCTTGGTTTGAAGTCTTTATTTGGCCTTATAACGAAATATGTAAAAAGAAAAAACAGAAATACATTTTTAATATTAATAATTTATAATTATGCGATAAGTCAAGATTATTTTTTGTGTAGTCTTCTGCCCCCTGTTATCAGGTATATCTGATTGTGGACAATAGGATTTTGAGCAAAGTTTTTACCATTAAATGATGCAAAAGGAGTCAAACGCAAAACATTTCAGAAACCGTATGTATCAAATATGATACATTTGGCATTACAGGGTTAAAGGTCGACGTGCATTCTTTGTGTTACGTACAGATGAAGTCACAATTTGCTGCCGTCTTTGCTCATCTTTGCTCTTTGTGTTTTTCAGCCTGAAGGAACTCCTCAGATGGTCAGCCACAACGCTCTGCTGTGTCCTGCAGGTGGGCGTACACACACCAAGTTCACTATCATTGACCACCGGAGCACAGAGGAAGTCTAACTAACTTATTTTGATGCTATTACTGACAGAGGGACCTTTGGAAAAGAAAATCTCCTTGCTGCTGCCTGAAATATTCGTGGCCGGATCAGCCAGAGCGTCCGTCTCCGTTCTGGGTCAGTAGTACTACGCTGAGAACCTTTTGAGGTCTTTTTTTTTCTTTTACTTTTCTCATTTTTCGTTCCGTTTCTTCCTCTGTAGGTGACCTGATGGGCCGAGCTATGCAGAACATAGACAAGCTCCTGGCCATGCCGTACGGCTGTGGGGAGCAAAACATGGTGCTGTTCGCTCCCAACATCTTCATCCTCAACTATCTGAACAGCACCGGTCAGCTGACCCAGAGAATTCTTGATAAGGCGACGCGTTTCCTGGAGAGCGGTATGTAAAGAGGGCTTTTTCTAGAACATTTCTAATCAGCCATAGTGCAAACAAAAGAGAAATCTGAACTGCCTCATGCAGGAACCCAGAGTGGCACGTTCTCAGTGTTCCCTTTGAAGTGAAGGATTACTTTCTAAATATAATATGGTGCGTTTGCTTCCTGTTTGTGTGTGGCAGGCTATCAGAGGGAGCTCACCTACAAACACGACGACGGCTCCTACAGCGCCTTTGGGAATCAGGACGAGTCCGGAAACACTTGGTTGGTGACGCGAACGACCGCGCGCTTGTGAATAACGTACAAAAAACGAAGAGGAACCGGATACTTACTTTTAACACCAAAAAACACCAGGCAGACAAAGCCCATGCCAGAGCTAGTGTTAAACGGCGGTTGCATCAGCAGTTGGAGAGGCATTTAAAACATTTATCCAGAGGCTTACTGTTCAAATCTCTCAGCTCGTGGTGACGAGAGAACAAAAGCAACGCGCATTTCTGGTGGGAGGAAGAAGCGCACACAAACACACACAGATGCTCGACGAGTCCCTCTGCCGTCTGTCAACAGCAAGCAGCCCCATCATTTAGTCTATCAAGAAGCCTCCAGAGAGAGCCGATGGATTCATTTAAGGGAATTAAAGCACGGTGTCCCGGGGATGGTAACATACCCTCGTTTACTGGTAAAAACAGGGCAGTTTCTTTATTTTTTGTTAGTAGTGAGTGCCCTAAAAGGCCTCCATGTTCACCACTGCACCCAGCAGCAGACAGGAAGTTTAAAACTAGGACAAGCAATGAAAAAAAATGGATTTTTGGCTCAGGTTTTGGAATCTAAAACCAAGGGTATCACTTATAAGTGGTCTATATCGTGTCTATAATTGGTGGTAAAACATTAAGAAACTATCTGTCTAGTATTGCATGTATAAATGGTCTATTTACCATTCATAAATGATGGCTATTGTTAAGTGTTACTAAAACTAAGATATGTACATGTATCTGGTGAAGCAACACATGACTCGAAAAGAATACAAATGTGATACCTGTGTGCAAACTAATGGCCAATTATTATCAAAATCAGTAGGTATTGTATGGGTTCACATTTGTATTCTCATAAAACCTGTTTGGGTAATTGAGGAGGCTCTTTTATGTCACCTTCCAGGCTCCGGCTTCTTTAAGCAAAGTGCACCTTGTGGCACTGATCGTGTTCCATTGGTCCATTTTCGGGCTCTCAACTCAAACATACACGGTTTCCACAAATGTGCAAGTACTTAATTTGATTTTTTGACCTTCCAGGCTGACCGCCTTTGTGATGAAGTCCTTTGGAGGTGCGAGGCCGTACATCTACGTGGATGTGCAGCACATTAACGATGCCTGGATGTGGCTTTCTAAATATCAAAGGGCCGATGGCTGCATCAGTTCCGTGGGGAAGCTCTTCCACAATGGGATGAAGGTATGCGACTTTTTGGAACTTCAGAAGGCTGAAATAAAAGGGGGGCAGAAATAGCTTGGTGCAAGGAGGGATTTTTCAAACGAAATGGTCGACTTGATCACGGAACTGAGGCTCGCTGAGACCTCCAGACAAGCGATATGCCCACAGAGCCTTGATTACATGATGCCTGCATGTGAAATAGTGAACTCTAAAGGCCTTGTCTCTTATTTTAAGACCTCGGGTTTATTTCAGTGCACAAAAGAGGTGCTGGGTAGCTTTACGGAACAGCAACTGGGGTTCTCCGACAGTTGTGGTTCTTCACACAATTCCGAGGAATAGATATGTGATGTGTGTGTGTGTTTGTGTGTGTGTCTGTGTGTGCGACACGGCGTAACTGGCTCTTTGCTCCCATCAGGGAGGAGTAAGTGACGACGTGTCCCTGACGGCCTACATCGCCGCTGCCAAGCTGGAACTGGACGGAGATGCCACGGTGAGTTCCACGTCTCTCTTTCTCGATTATCATTTTAAATCTGACTTTATTCGCAATTTCGCATGGAAGTTTCTGTATTCAAAATGGAGGAAAGTATAACAGAATGAAGCTACAAGTCATCAAAAGAGGTCTAACAATGTGCTCGTGTCTTGATATAGCTTTGAAATCTATCATGAACATGGAGCAAATAGAAAAAAAAAAAGCCTAAGTACAGCTTTTTAGAAAAGCTTCCCTACTGTGGCCGTAGCTTTATTTTCTAAAGGCTGCCTTACAGAACAGCTGCAGGATTTTAAAGCCTCACCGTGTCATTTCATCTTTGGGGCTTTTTTGTCAGGATCCCGTGGTGCAGAACTGCCTGAGGTGTCTGAAGCAAAGCGGGGTCGCTCAAATGGACAATCTCTACACGACCTCCCTGCTCTTTTACACTTTCTCTCTGGCCGGAGACGAGGAGATGAGGAGCAAGCTCATTACCTTCCTGAACCAGAAGTCCATCACAGAGGGTACAGTCATGTTTGAAAAAGGCGATTTAAAAAACAAACAAACAGCCAGCAAAACGTCAAGCAAGGCCAGATTACAGATCTTTGGAAAAAACAGCTTTTTTAAGTTAAATTAAACACTGTGTGATGTCTTTATCTTACATTATATCCATCCGTCCATCATCTATACCAGAAAGGCTCCTGGTCCCTTTGGGGATTCAAACCAGGAACCCTCTTGCTGCGAGGCGATTGTGCTTACCACCACACCACCCCTGATATTATATATATTGTCTCTTTAATCAATGTTTGGTAAGATATTTGAAACAATAAGAATTCTCAGCATTAAGTGCAAGAAAGAAATTAAACCTTCAGTTGAGACACAAAGTGAGTGAAGGTGAGTTTGTATTGACGAAGTACAGTAAATATCTTCCAATGCTCCCGATCTGACAACCTCAGAGTTCTTTGGAGAAGAACAAAAGTGTCTCTTTAAATAAAACCAAGGTGCAGCTTACGGGGTGGACGGATGCTAACCGATAAAGTGGCTAAGTGAGAGGTAGGACCTCACAGTGTGAGCTCACATCTGAGCTGTGATGGGAGCTGAACTGTTAGCGTAAGGAAAACTCACGGTTTAGAGCAGAAGACTCAAAGTTGTTCCTACGCTAGTATACAAACTCGAGTCTCATCATTGCGTGCTAACATCTGGCAGGAGGCACCCGCCACTGGAAGAGGCAAGGGGCATCTGATAAAGGTCTGGACTCTCTGGAGGTGGAGATGACCTCCTACGTCCTGCTGGGGCTGCTCCACCAGCCCTCTCTGGAGGGTTTCGGTTTGGACTACTCCGTCGGCATTGTCCGCTGGCTCACGCAGCAGCAGAACCCGTACGGTGGTTTCTCCTCCACCCAGGTAGCCTACGTCTACAGGTCCGGTGTTTACGGAGGAGCCGGTTTCGGAGCCGTACCCTCACCAGCACATGTCCTCCCCCCCTCCGCAGGATACCGTGGTGGCCCTCCAGGCCCTGGCCAAATACGGTGCTGCCACCTACAGCCCCGAGGGCAGCACCGCCGTGACGGTGACCTCTTTGGGAGGCCTGAACGTCCAGTTCACGGTCAACCAGGACAACAGGCTGCTGTACCAGGAGAAGAAGCTGACCGAGATCCCCGGGGAGTACACCATCAAAGCCGAAGGACAGAGCTGCGTCATGGCTCAGGTACGGTCCAGCACGACTGACCAGATAAGCAGGAAACACTTTTAATAAGTTTGATAAGTTGAAATCAGATCTATCGTGACGTCCGTTCTTTGTCATGTTGCCCAGAAAGAGGATGTGAGATACATCAAAGATACCCGTGTACATTAACCTGTTATTTCTGTCTAAGAACAGCAAGAAAAAACAACTAAATTTTAGATTTAAAGCTCTCAGAGAAAGTCTGTCTCTCACCAACATTAATGAATAATACAGTGGTGGAAAGACAGGTTTTGTTTTTGCCACTTTTTGCCATTTTACAGCTACGAGAGAACACATGTTGTGGTTATGTTGATGTATTTTGCATAGTTGCTCTACACATTTAGTGAGTTCAGTCAAGAGTCCGAAACGGCCGCCGTCCTGGTAGCAGCTGGACGGTCGAGCCCTGATGACCAGACCTGTTGAACATCATGTGTTGGCCTATGGGGTCAGACACGGGGAAATAGATTCATTCAATGTCTCTCGACAGATCTCCATGCACGTCAACATCCCGCCTCCTGCCGACTTCTCCGCCTTCAACGTCTCCACCAGCACCATGGCCAAATGCGCCGACAAACCGCCTCAGCTCATCCTCTTCGTGCACGTCAGGTACGCTTCGGTGGCCATTTGTACTGGACGAGAGATAATACGAATACGAAGTAATCGTCAATGAAAAAACGAAGGGTCAAATTGTTTTTGGTGGTTTAACTCTTTCAGGTATCAGGGCAGGAGGACGGAAACCAACATGGTGATCGTCAACATCAAGCTGCTGTCCGGCCACATTCTGGATAAAAGCTCCCTGAAGCTGGTCAGCTGACCATTTCGCCGAATGAGATATCAATGCCTTAACATTTGTGGAGAACCTGTACTGATATATGTGTCATTACAGCTGCAAAGTGACAAGTCTGTCAAACGGGTGGATGTGGATGAAGGCTACATTAACATCTACCTGGATGAGGTAGGACCTTCTAAAGTGTGTGTGTGTGTGTGTGTGTGACTCGGAGAAAATGGATTGAATCAAGTTGAACTGTTTCATACGTTTTGGCACAAACTAAAAGTGTGGGGATGTTTGTCGTGCCGCAGCTGAAAAAAGGAGAAACCCGGATCTACAGCGTGACTCTGGAGGAAGACCAGCAGGTCCGAAACCTGAAACCGGCCGTGGTCAAAGTCTACGACTACTACCAGACAAGTAATCCCCCCGATCCTTTATCCGCCGCACATCTTCATCGTACTAGCCCTCCTGACTTTTGAATTTGTCCCCGTTTGTGCTCGTTTTTCAGGTGACGAGGCGGTCACCGATTACACGTCCCCCTGTGCAGAGAGTACGTACGGCTCCGTCGCTTTTTCCCCTTTTGTGATACGGTCTAAGGCTTTTTGTCGAGTGGAACACAACTGCAAGGCAAAAAATTATGAACTGGGGTTCTTTCATCTTAGAGAAATTAAGAACTTTGATATTAAAGTATTTCATTAGTTAAGTACTAACTTATTAGCGAAAAAAAAAAGTACAAACAAAACAAACAAAAATTTGTATATTAAATAAGAAAGTATTCTAGAATCTACAGTATTTTCAAAGTGTTCTGTTGTCAAAAGTTGTCAAATTGGTGTCAAAATTACAAAGGTTCATTGTCATGGAACAAATGCAGATTCAGGTCAAATTGGTCAAAATATACAAAAACATAAGGTGTGAAAACAGTGCAGGTAAGCGAGTGTGTGTGTGTGTGTGTGTGTGTGTGTGTGTGTGTGTGTGTGTGTG